CTGGATGGGACTGTGACTGCGCGGAGACTCGGTGCTGCTGCAGCTGGAGGAACATGCCCACCGCGCCGCTGCACCTGCTCCTGGCCGCGCTCATGCTCTCCGGACCCGGGCTGCTGGCCACGAGTTTCCCCGGGAACATCCACATCGGTGAGTGAGTGAGTGGTGTGGACCCGGGGGAGCGGGGAGCGTGTGGACCCGGGGGAGAGGAGCGGTGTCCGGGGAGGAGAGCACGGGAGGCGCATGGGGCTACGCTTAAACACGATATTAGTCTGGCGCTTTTACGAGTTAATGATTTGATTTGCACGTGTCTCATCAGGGCCTAATTAATGAGAGACATGACAGCAAAAGTTATTAGTTTCATTTTTGTGTCTTTATTTTGATCGACTCGAAACCTTTACGCGAAAAACAGCATTATCAAATCTGTCTGGTTTATTCATTCATGTAATCTATTTTAATTAGAATTTTGTTTAATTAATCATTCTCTGATTTAAACGGGAGCGTGTTTTATAGACAGATTACGGCTTAAATAGCACCAAACTTTACTGTCTTTTACGTAACAATATTTTGTCGAATCATATTGAACTTTTAACACCCCCAAAGGAGTTATTAATGCTAAATAAGATATCCAAAATGCCCTCTGTAAATGTTTTGTATCTAATATTAAAAAGAAATGAAGCAAGAATTTTAAACTTGACTCTGTATGTTTTTCAGATTTAGCCTATGGCCATTTTTACACAGAAAAAAAGCCTTTTTATGAAACATTAAAATGCACCTGTGCACCTGCAGACTCTCCGTTTAAGACTTTTTGGAGCTTTCTCCCGTGTTATAACGTTGTTCCCCCATCAAAAACAAGAGGTTTTAGATGTTAAATTATCTGTTTACACTAAATCTACTGATATAACAGTAAATACTGTTGCAAAAAAGCCCCCGAAATGTCCCAGACTCCACAATTTAAAGAGGGGGTAGGCGAGTTTACTTCTTACGGGCTATTTACTGCTAACACATTACATATTTAGATCACCATGTAACCTTTAATTGTTTTGAAAATGTTATATTCTCCAAAAAACAAAGTATTTACATGTTTAAAAGTTGAATTTTATCTTTTGATGCTTTGAGTCTTCCCTCCCCTAGCTCCCCACGCTAAATCACTCCTCCTTCAGAGCGCTAACAGACACAATCAGTGTGCATCCTGCTAATGAAACTATTGCACGTCATATATTTATGAAATATGAGTGACATAGGCTTGTGGGCGGAGCCTTGTACAGGCTCGTACTGCTAACTGTAAGAAGGGTTTGAATAGGGTCCTGAAGATTTTGCTTATGCATGGATGAAATCTAAAACCTCTTCCGTAGGGATGTAACAATAAAATATTGTGATACCGTATCGTCAAAAGTTTCACAATAATAACGAGGGGCGTCACAATATGTCGAATTACAAAATCCTTTGCTTAAATGCATGGTTTTATAGTAGCAACAACTTATGAATATTGGAAACTACATATCCCATGATTCATTTCAGTGCAGACAACATGAAGAAACATGTTTTTTACTTGAATTCTTGGGATTATGACGGTAATAATTCACATCAAAATCTTGGCAAGATTTTGGCAAGATTAAAAGCAAAAAATTTTTCCATCTACAATTATATCAGCCTCTTCAAAATATTGCAATAAATATTGAAGCATGAGATTTGGATATTGTATCACCGTGTTTTTGATGAGTAAACACTGTTACATGGTAGAAAGGAAAAACTATATATTTTGCATAATACCCCTTTTTAGGAAATTGTCAGGAGGGACTTTAATCTGGTGGCATCTCTAAAGCTTTAAGCGTTGTAAAATGACGGTAACATTAGTGTGAAATAACTGCAGTAGTGAACATGACTGGAGGAAAAGTGTACACAGATCCTGCTGAAACAGTGCCTTTAGTGCCACTTCCTGTTCACTTCCTCCTCCACAGATCTGGCAACCCCCGAACCCCAGGGCTCCAGATATATGTTGCGGTATTCAGGATGTATACAACCATGTTCACGTTAAAGGGGCCAGAGCTTGCTACACTTTAGTATAATCCTGCATCTCCAAATGCTCTGTTGCACCTGATCATGTCATGAGGTTGTGATGAAAGGCTCGAGTGGAGTTTTTGTTTTAAGTCTTATTCACTCTGCTTTATACGTATGTGGTGTGTGTGAGTAAATAATGCAGCTGTGCACTCTTAACTCACAGCAAGAAGGTTCAAGGTTTGACTCCCGGGCCGGTCTGTGTGGAGTATGGTTGTGTTTGGATGTTCGCACTAATCCCTACTCGGTCATTCGGACACCACTCAATAGGGGTCACACATTTTTAGTAGCATCTGAATGACCCGTTGGTGAAAAAATAGTGTACTTAAAAGTTTCCACAATGCACCCTGAAACATAGTGTCCATTGCTGGTGCCAGTATAGACCACAAGGCGCTTGGAGAGTCAGAAAAACACCAGTGGACAGCAGCAGGTCTTTATTGCGCTATTTTCAGATCCATGTTATAATGTTGTTTCCTCGTCACAAACAGACCTGGAGTTGTGTTTTATTTTTTTGCACACATGTTTAACACACAAACCCTGCATATTTACGCTGTGTTCTTCTCTGAAACTGAAAACATTCAGTTCTACCTTGTGATGTCACGTGGTAATGCAGGAAGTGCTGTACAGTCTGAAATTTTGGACATAGGACCTAACTTCCTAGTGAGGCAGTGTTGGAGACGTGTGGAGACACTTTATGAATACATAGACACTTTTTAAATAGTCCCACTAAAAACAGTCTTACCCACTTCACAAGACACCCGAAACAAATCTATTATTACACCAGACTGTCAATGTAAATGTCTGTGTTGATAGAATAATGTTTGAAATAAAACTAAGCTTGCATCGCATCAATCGTCGCATGTTGAGGGACTATTTTCTCAGCAGCAGCGGAATTTTACTTTGCCGGTAAGATAGGTGGTAGGTGATATCAGTCCACCGCTGCTAAGTTTTCTATCAGGAAGTTCAACTTACGGCTGCTGCTCAGACATACAGTCCCTGACAAAAGTCTTGTCGCTTATCCATTTTGTAGAAACAAAAGCTTATAACCTGACTTTAAATTAATCAATTGGTTTTAGAAATGTCTCATATGAAAGCTAAAACCCTCCCAAATTATGCTCAATATACTAAAATAAATTTGCTTCACTGAAGAAAGATTGATCATTTAATGAACACAGAAAGGACAGATTTTGGCAAGACAAAAGTCTTGTCGCCTTGTCATATGATGCACCCAATCCTAGATTACAGCCTCACCTGTGATCAGTTGCTGATCAATCAATTAGTGGGCGTGTATAAAAAGAAGCCCAGCACACCAGACCTTCACATCAACTGCAACTTGACCTCTGACAACATGCCTAAGATCCACCCTGAGACCAAAGCATTAATTATCAAGAGGCTGAAGACCGGATCCACTGCTGAGGTGGCTGACACCTTCAATGTGTCTCAGCGTCAAGTACAAAGAATAAGAAAAAGATCTGAAATGACTGGAGATGTTTTTGACAAGCCCAGGTCCGGCAGACCCCGCAAGACAACTGTTCGGGAGGACCGTTTGTTGATTCGAAAATCCAAGGCCAGCCCCTTTTCCACTGCAGCAGAGCTCCACCAGGCCTGGTCACCTCAAGTCCCTGTGTCAACCAGAACAGTTTGTAGAATTCTGTCTCAAAATGGCCTCCATGGTCGAATCAGTGCACAGAAACCAGCACTAAACAAAAGGCAATTAAAAAACCGTGTGGCATTTGGCAAGGCCCACAGCCTGCTAAAAGGATGGACACTGGAAAAGTGGCAGAAGGTGGATTTCTCAGATGAATCCTCGGTTGAATTACATCACAGCCGCCGCAAATATTGCAGGAGACCTACTGGAGCCCGCATGGATCCAAGATTCACCCAGAAAACAGTTAAGTTTGGTGGCGGAAAAATCCTGGTCTGGGGTTACATCCAGTATGGGGGTTTGCAGACTGGAAGGCAATATCAATAGCCTAAAATATCAAGAAGTATTCGCTACCTCTTATATTCCCAACCATAAAAGGGGTCAAATTTTGCAGCAGGATGGTGCTCCATCGCATACTTCTATCTCTACATCAAAGTTTCTCAAGGTGAAGAAGATCAAGGCGCAGGTTATAAGCTTTTGTTTCTACAAAATGGATAAGCGACAAGACTTTTGTCAGGGACTGTAAATCCTTCAAATGCAAGACTGGTTTTACTTCTAAAAATATTCTATCAACACAGACATTTACATCGACAGTCTGGCGTTATAATTGTTTTGTTTCGGGTGTTTTGTGGAGGTGGGTAAGACTGTTTTTAGTAGCAGGATAACTATTGCCATTGACATGCACTAGCCTAGCACCAACGACCTCTGTAAATACAAGGGCTGGATGGAATATTTTTAAAAAATATCTAAACGCATCTCCAACTAGGAAATGAGATCATTTGTCCAAAATTCCAGACTGTTCCTTTAAACTAAATACACCTTCAGAAGAATCATTTGGATAATTTCAGCCCTGGAATTGCCAATCTGTACTGAACTAAAGGTAAAAGGAGCTGTTAACTTGAAAATGACTGCTTCATGACTTCACAAGGTGGAGCATTTTGACCTTTGGAGATATAGACAGACAAATAATAATAAAGCATTACTCAAACATGTGTGAATGAAACAAAACACAACTCCAACTATGTTTTTGAGGAGGTAACATTCTGACATGGCTTAAAGTTAAATTTTGTGTAATATAGGACCCTTTAATAAACCGTTGCTATATAAAGTTGCTGGTGTTGGCCTTAGCTCGAGCTGTTTCATCAATATTTATGACACAAATCAAGTTTTATTGGAGTCTAGCAGACTTTTCTTTACTGTCTGGTTCTCATTTCTCTCTCTTCGTGTTTCAGGGGGTTTGTTTCCGTCTGGTTCGCATGAGTACGAGGTTTTCCGGTTCGCTCTGTCCCAGCAACAGGATGTACCCAAACTGCTGCCTCAGGTTGACCTGGTGGACACAAGCAGCAGCTTCTCCATGACCTATGCCTGTGAGTAGACAGATGCATCTCTGCCCTTCCATCATCCTGTGTCCCTGTATGTCAGATGCCCTTTCCTGTGTGTCAGATGCGCGTCAGATGCCCTCCCTGTGTGTCAGATGCCCTCCCTGTGTGTCAGATGCCCTCCCTGTATGTCAGATGCCCTCCCAGTGTGTCAGATGCCCTCCATCAGCCATTCCAGGTCGTGTCAGTGTGAGTTTTTTCAGAACCGGTCGCCTCGTGGTGACAGGGCAGGGATGTTCTGACTCCTCTCGTTTGTTTACATCGACTCGTTGCTCTGAGGGCCTTCAGTGACAGACTCTCTCTACCTCTCCCTCTATCTGTCACTCTCGCTTTCCTCCTCTCTTTCTTCTCTTTTTTGAAAACTCCCCCTTGCTCTTTCTCTCCTCTTTTGCCTCCTTTCCCCTATCTTCTTCTCTCTCCCTTTCTCTCTCTGTCTTTCCTTTCCTCCTCTCTCCTCTCCTCTCTTCTTCACTCCTTCCTCCCTCTCTCCTATTCTCCTTCCTTCACTCTCTCTCTTTCTACACTGACAGACTCTTGTCGTCTGGTTGCTTTGTTGACATGGCCCGTCTGCTCCTTCTGTTCATTCTCCTCTCTCCCCCTCCCTCCTTACGCCACCCCTCGCCTTTTTCTCTCTCTCTCCTCCTCCTCATTGTTTCCTTGTTCAGTTTGCTCTTTCTGTTCCTCATTCTCTCTCTCCCTCTCCTCTCTATCACATTGTTTTCTCTCTCTCTACTCCTCTCTTCTCCCTCACCTCTCTCTCTTTTTCGTCTCCTCCCTGCAATCTCTCTCATTGTTTCCCTCCTCCCCTCTCTTTCCCTCTATCTTTTACTTACTCCCTCTCTTTTCTTTCTCCCTGCCCCTCTCTTTCTCTCACCTCCCTCTCATCGGCCCCTTGTCTTCCATCTCTTTCCCCTCTCCTCCCTCCCTCTTCCTTCTCTCATTGTTTCCTTCTTCTCTCTCATCTCTTGCCCCTTTCTCTCCTCCTTCTCCCCCTCTCTCTCTTTCTCTCTCTCTCTGTTTATTCTCTCCATTCTCATCTGTTCCATTTAAAACTGTCACTACCTAAACCGACTGTCTCATATCATGTTTTTAAAGAAATGTATTAAGAGAATTGACACAAATGAATGAATCACATCTTTACGGTTGAATAATGAAACCACTTTCTCTCAAGCTTTGGTGAAAAAAATAATTCACTGTTGTTTATTTATAATGATATTGAATTTTGTGCCAATTTTTGTTTCATGTGAATAGGCCCAGTAATTACAACGATACGAACCATAAACCAGGTCAACAAATCGGCAAATTTCACCTGTCCTCCAGCTCTGTTTAAACTAGAGGGATTCTACAATATTACATTATACTTAAGTGTCATTGTGTGTCAGATGCCCTCCCTTTTGTGTCCATTGGTTCAGCTGCAAGATCAGTCGCAGTCGAATCAACATCGCAAAGGCAGAAATATTTGAAGTTCCATAATTTCCATTTTCTCATAAACAACCCAGTCTCATGTCTTTTTTTGCATAAAAACTGCTAACCCTGTTCTTCTTGTGTGTCAGATGCCCTCCCTGTGTCTCCATGGGGTCATTACTTTGTGTAAAAGCTGCTAACCCTGTGGTTTAGATCTCTGCAAACATGTTCTGAAATGCACATGATTTTTGGATTAGTTTACAGTTCAGATTTCAGTTCCTCTCAGACGTGAATGCTCCCGGACGCGTTTAAAATACTGAAATATTTTGCATCCCAATTTCAGCAATTTCAGTATTTGTGCAAATCTTCATTCTTTTGTTTTTCTTAATCTGACAGAACAATGGATTAGTTCTGATGCACAGAAATAAAACACTTTTATAACTCCTGTCCTGCTCCTCTGTCTGTAAAGCAGACCTATTCAGCAAAATTGTCCATTCAGATCTTTTAACCATGGCTACGTTCATACTGCAGGGCTTAATGCTCAATTCGGATTTCTTTGTGAGGTTGTTCACATTTCCAATTGAATGCGACTTGTATGTGATCTCCAGTGTGAACTTTAAACATCCCAAAAGTGTCTCGCATGCCCATTGGAGGACACAACGACGTCACATGCAGCGAGCGTGCTCAGTGTTTAAGGAAGTCGCCTAAACTCTGAGCTTGTCTCCCACAATATGGTCCAGTTCTTCGTAAAATGGACAAGTTACAGGTCCAAGGCCGCTTCGTTTGTTTGAGTCTTTAGTCTCCTTTTATTTGCCTCGCAGGCTCTCATTGGAACCAGGATTGCCTGTAGCCACGCTCGGACATTTCTTTGGCAATCATTTCAAAAAACGCCCAGTTCTGCTAAGACCCCTCCAATCTGGCCTGAATACAGCGATCCCCCCTATTATTAATTAACTCTCTAACTATGCTATCCCTCCATTGACTAGACTCTGAGCCTGACGTGTAGGTGGGATGATTGTGACCTGGCCATTCAGACTGAAGTCACATTTGTCAAAAGACTGGATATGTATCGGTTTTAGGATCTTATCTGTGTCGTTCAGGCTGTCATTCAAAGATCAGCTATAAGTCGCACAGGGGCGAAAAAATTGGGAGTTTGGGTCACTTTAGGCTGCAGTCTGAATGTAGCCCATGCTATAATTGTTTCCTTCTCACTGACCCTCTGAAGTTGTATTTAGAATGATTCGTGTAAGTTTGAGTAATCATGATTCTCCTGTGTTCAAGACGTCATTGCTCCTATCAGTATCTGTTTTCACCGCTACTGCACACGCCCACCTCACTGTACTTACTTCCTTCTCAAGTTTTATTTTCTTAATTGTTGATACACGTAAGATTCAACAGTGTTGCAAAGTCATTATGTTACAAATGAAAAAAAAAAAAAAATCTGCTGCTCGCTTGCATGAAGTGCAGCTATCCATAGGAGGGGACGACAGCATGCAGCACACTGGGCACCACAGTTTTCTAACGCAAAAGTCAGTGGACTGGTTTCTTTTATTATGTTATTGTAACACCTGTGTCAGTGGATATAGTAATAATACAGTGGGATACAGTATTGAAATGATGACTGAGTAGTAATGTAGTAATATGGGCTAGTGACCAGAAGACTAGAATTTGTCTAGGAGGGAGTGACAGGAGACTGAGTTTGCTTCTGGTTTGGTACCATATATTATAGTAAATGGTAAATGACATACACACATATAACACAGACAGTTCAGTAGGAATGGCCTTTCAATAGTATATAACAGTTCAATAATCAACTTCAGTCAAGGCACAACAATGGGTAATTGAGTGCAAAATATATTCAGAGTCCAGCAATAGTAAGTGCAATCAGGAACCCAAAAATATTAACCCAGCCCACACAGAGTTCACTGAGTCCCACGTCTGGGTTTGACCGTATATCCAGAGGGAGTAAAGTGCAGCAAGAGTTCGTGAGGGTAATGCGTGAAAGTCATTGGGCAATGGGCATGTGGGTGCGTTGGGAGAGTTTTTTGTGGGCTGCAAAGAGTTTAATGCATAATAAAACTCACGCGATTGGATGCGCAGCTTCACGTGACCATGTGACATCACCGAGAGCCTAACAACGATTAGTTTAGCAGGCAAACGTGATCTTGTGACGCGGAGATCCTGCGAGAACACAACGAAATACTGCGAGATTTAAATGCAATGGTGAGAGATAGGAGAGATAGGCTCAGATGCACATAGAGAGAGGCAGATGTTTTACAGGATTTGTCATTTGGGTGACATTATTATTATTATTATTTTTATTTTTTTTAAATTAATATTGTGATTTAAAATGTGCAAATTGTTAATTAATTAAACATAATTATCCACGCATGTTAGAGATTATAACTATGTAAGACAGATATGTTTAAAGAGGGAGTATTCTGAGAAATTTACTTTTTGTAGCTTTCATTTTCAAGACAATAAAAGGTAACACCATAGAAGTAAAATGTCCTCTCTTTAAAGTCATATTCCAGGTAAAACAATAACATCCCCATTAAGACGAGCAGGTGGCAGAACAAGACCATTTACCGGAACTTTTATTTGGAAATAGACGATCCAAAGCAGAAGAGATTTATTTGTGTAATTCTAAACTGAAGTCTCCGCAGCTCAGATCTGCCTCCTGCTGACCGCTCGTCCCTTTGTTCATTTCTGTCAAACATTTAAACAATTCTTCTTTGACGACTTCTATTTCAGTCCTCCAGTCTGCATCAAAAACGACACTCTCTTCTTTCTGTCTTCCCCTCACACTCTCTCCCTCTTTCTTTTTCTCTCTCTCTCACCCGTGCATGCAAGAGTCTTACCCGCAACCTCCGGGCTAACCACTCTGCTATAGTAGCACAGGGAGCACATGCACAGATCAGGAGTCTGACCCACAACCTTCTGACCGAGGGGAGGAGACAGGATAAGCACATTTTGCTGCTCCATATTTTTACTGTGAGCTAGTTTCATGGTGGGTTGGCAGATTTTTTACGCCTGATGCCCTTCCCCTCGCAACCAGCCACAATTGTCTCTCTCCTTTGCTATCTAATCTCATTTCCTCCTCCTTGCCTTCTTTGTTTCTTTCACTTCCTCTCTCTTTCCTCCTCTTTCTTTCCCTTTCTCCTTCTCCTCTTTGTGCACCTCCTTTTCTCACTTCACTTTCCTTCTCTCTTTCCTCCTCCTCCACCTTCCCCCCTCTATAGCTCTCTTTGTCTCTTTCCTCTGCTTTCTTATTCTCCTTTTTCCTCTCTCTCCCTCTCCCTTCCTCTTCCTCTTCTTTCCTGCCTGCCTTCTCCCGCATCTTTCCTTCTTGTCCTTCCGTCCGGGTTATTGTTTATTGGGCAGAAAATTCCGTGTTTTGTGGAAAAACCGAAGGAGCCCAGTGTTTTCCTGCAGAGTGAATTCGTGCTGTTGAGCAATCACTCTTCCTTGCACGCTCGGTTTAACGGCCCAAACACGAAAAAATGTTCAGGAAAAGAACCAAAACGAGCGAAGGAGAGAGACTGGGAAATAAACAGACATTCAAAAGATGTAATATGTGTTTT